ATAATGAAAAGGTAAATACTTTCAGTTTAATGCTCTGCGGTATTACCTGTAATACAAGGAAGAACACCTGAGTGAGAGATGCTTGCCTAATTCAAGTCTGCTGGATCAGACCCATGTTTATTTATTAGATTTTTTTCTTTATTTGGACTGTTGGTTTTCATTTACTCACCCTAACCAGCTGGGCTATAGCAATGGGATTCTTAGCTCCCCAAGACATAAGCTTGGAACTGGGGCAAGCAAGTGAGCATGGACTACAGTACTTTCACCATCATTATCATTCTGGATTGTCATTCTTCTCCATGTCCATACAACTACTTTCTCTTCCAAGACAAACTGAAAGTCACATACAAGCCTGTAAAAAAAAAATCACCCAACTTGCTAACAGGTGTTGTGCTGTGGTTCCCAACCACAGGTACGTATACCTCCACTGCTGCTGTACGCTTCCCCTCCCTACCTGTCCTAACCTTAGTGCACTGGTGTTGCCCACTTCTCATTTAATTGTACATGTGCAGACACGAAACAGAGCTGGGGTTACAGTGCACAAAACTGATTGGGAAACGTCAGGCAATGGCTGGCAGACCTGAGGACTTTCTCTCTGAACTGAGTGTAATAGAAAATCTTTGGTGCTATGCAGTTGGGGTCTGATCCTGTGAAGTACTGAGGGCTTTGAACTCCTGTTGACTTTGATGCGAGGTCAGTGTGCTCCTTACCTTGTAGCAGTGGGTCCTATGCTGTGATGCTTTCAATCGCTGCTGGTCTGAAGTCAGTTTCAAAAACAAGTCTGCCATATGGCAGCAGAACCTAATCAGGTCACGCTGGTTCAAAATTTCTTACAGAACATTAGGATGGATATTAGAGAGATCTTCTTAAAATGTGTGACAGTCTGTTTACTTGGTACAAGAAATGAGCCAATTATTGATGTTAAATGAAGAACTATATATATTACAAAAAGAAAAGGAGGACTTGTGGCACCTTAGAGACTAACAAATTTATTTGAGCATAAGCTTTCGTGAGCTACAGCTCACTTCATCAGATGCATTCAGTGGAAAATGCAGTGGGGAAATTTCTATACACAGAGAACATGAAACAATGGGTGTTACCATACACACTGTAACGAGAGTGATCAGGTAAGGTGAGCTATTACCAGCAGGAGACTGGGGGGGCGGGGACCTTTTGTAGTGATAATCAAGGTGGTATTCTATCTGCTACCCTAGATTCATAAACCTGGAAATCCTGGACGCCCCATCATCTCAGGCATTGGCACCCTGACAGCAGGACTGTCTGGCTATGTAGACTCCCTCCTCAGGCCCTACGCTACCAGCACTCCCAGCTATCTTCGAGACACCACTGACTTCCTGAGGAAACTACAATCCATCAGTGATCTTCCTGAAAACACCATCCTAGCCACTATGGATTTAATAGCCCTCTACACCAACTTTCCACACACAAGCTGTCAGGAATAGTATCCCCGATAATGTCACGGCAAACCTGGTGGCTGAACTTTGTGACTTTGTCCTCACCCATAACTATTTCACATTTGGGGACAATGTATACCCTCAAATCAGCGGCACTGCTATGGGTACCCACATGACCCCACAGTATGCCAACATTTTTATGGCTGACTTAGAACAACGCTTCCTCAGCTCTCATCCCCTAATGCCCCTACTCTACTTGTGCTACATTGATGATATCTTCATCATCTGGACCCATGGAAAAGAAGCCCTTGAGGAATTCCACCATGATTTCAACAATTTCCATCCCACCATCAGCCTCAGCCTGAACCAGTCCACACAAGAGATCCACTTCCTGGACACTACGGTGCTAATAAGCAATGGTCACATAAAACACCATCCTATACCGGAAACCTACTGACCACTATGCCTACCTACATGCCTCCAGCTTTCATCCAGACCACACCACACGATCCATTGTCTACAGCCAAGCTCTACGATACAACCGCATTTGCTCCAACCCCTCAGACAGAGGCAAACACCTATAAGATCTCTATCAAGCATTCTTACAACTACAGTACCCACCTGCTGAAGTGAAGAAACAGATTGACCGAGCCAGAAAAGTACCCAGAAGTTACCTACTACAGGAAAGGCCCAACAAAGAAAATAACAGAATGCCACTAGCCATCACTTTCAGCCTCCAACTAAAACCTCTCCAACACATCATCAAGGATCTACAACCTATCCTGAAGGACGACCCATCACTCTCACAGATCTTGGGAGACAGGCCAGTCCTTGCCTACAGACAGACCCGCAACCTGAAGCAAATACTCACCAGCAACCACACACCACACAACAGAACCTCTAACCCAGGAACCTATCCTTGCAACAAAGCCGGTTGCCAACTGTGTCCACATATCTATTAAGGGAACACCATCATAGGGCCTAATCACATCAGCCACACTATCAGAGGCTCGTTCACCTGCACATCTACCAATGTGATATATGCCATCATGTGCCAGCAATGCCCTTCTGCCATGTACATTGGTCAAACTGGACAGTCTCTACGAAAAAGAATAAATGGACACAAATCAGACATCAAGAATTATAACATTCAAAAACCAACTGGAGAACACTTCAGTCTCTTTGGTCACTCGATTACAGACCTAAAAGTGGCAATTCTTCAACAAAAAAACTTCAAAAACAGACTCCAATGAGAGACTGCTGAATTGGAATTAATTTGCAAACTGGATGCATTTAACTTAGGCTTGAATAAAGACTGGGAGTGGTTGGGTCATTACACAAAGTAAAACTATTTCCTCATACGTTCTTGTCAACTGCTGGAAATGGCCCACCTTGATTATCACTACAAAAGTATTCTCCCCAGGCCCCCCCCCCGCTCTCCTGCTGGTAATAGCTCACCTTACCTGATCACTCTAGTTACAGTGTATATGGTAACACCCATTGTTTCATGTTCTCTGTGTATATAAATCTCCACACTGTATTTTCCACTGAATGCATCCGATGAAGTGAGCTGTAGCTCACAAAAGCTTATGCTCCAATAAATTTGTTAGTCTCTAAGGTGCCACAAGTCCTCCTTTTCTTTTTGCAGATACAGACTAACACAGCTGCTACTCTGAAACCTGTCTATATATACGATAGTTCTTCATTGATCAATAATTAGCTAATTATTGACTAATTAAGATAAGGCTAAACAATGTTAATCTGATTAGCAGAAGGCAAGTCGTTAACTGCTTATATATATATATATATATATATATATATATATATATGAATGAATGAATGGCATATGGCATTAAATCAATGACAATCAACAACAAATCTCTAGGCAACGCAATTACCTTTTAAGTGACATAGGCCAGTGCAGCGTATGTCCTGCAAGAGACACCCATATGTTTCTGCAGACACATGCTGTGTAGTCATCCTGATGAACCATCACTGTTCAAATGAAATCAGCTGGCCCGCCTTTGAGAAGGTAAATGTACATTTGGCTTGCAAAGGGATAACTCTTTCTGATCAAACAAAAAGATCAAAACAATCAAATGGACCATTAACTGGAGTTATGGGCAATTTCCATGGGGTTACTGCAATGTCTATTTTACAAAATCCGCAGCAGCACCATAAAAGTTGTGAAGGAAGAATATGTATTGTTTTGAAGCAGTTAACGACTTACCTTCTGCTAATCAGATTAACATTGCTTACCTTATCTTAATTAGCTGTATGTTTTAGGAGATTATAGTAAATCCTCATACCAACAAGTTGTATGGGAGAAGCCTATCATCCATCCTACTCTGGCTGAGCTCTTTGCCATTTCAGAAATGAAGTACAAAATGAAGGGGAGTAACGGAGACCTCGTCACTGCATATGTGATTATGTGCATCCGCAGGCCAAAGTCTCAGAAGGAAAAGTGCAACAGGTGTACACCTCACTAGAGCCCAAGGGTTGTAATATCAGTGGCAGAATAATTGCGTTCATGCTTAGCCTCTTTACCTGGGTTTTCCTCAGAGGAACAGGATTTGCTGCAATGTTCTCAAGTCACTCCATAATGAGCCTGATCCTCTCACTAATAGCCTGATCCTGTTCCCATTCAAGTCAAGAGCAAAATTCCCATTGATTTACAACATCAAGCCCTTTCACTGGTGTAATCAGGAGTAAATTAAACCAATAAAAGTGTAGAGAATAAGAAACTCAAGCCCTTCATTTTTAAAACCCCAATTCAGTAAAGCACTTAACACATGCACACATTCTTAATTCCCATTAATTTATCCCAATTACTTAAGTGCTTTGCTGAATCAGGGACAAAGAGCATCACAAACAACATTCAGTGGCAATAGCAGTCTTGCCATTTGGTATTTACCTCTCCATTGTGAGTGGGAGTTAACTTCCTAACAATGACAAATGAGAAAGAACTGTAAAGGTTCCAGAAGCAAAGATATAAAAATCTTTTTTTGTGGGTATAAACAACCTTTCTAACTCATCAACTCCTCAGTTGCAGATTTCAGAGACACCTGGTCCACACAGAGTTCCTTTGAAGATCCCAATGTAGATGTGGATAACACCCATGATACTATGGTCTTCTCTAATTTCATTTTTACATGGTTGCATACTTTTATGCCAAAAATAAATCTGTATCAGTATTACACCCCTACAATGAGTAGAGACTCATTGACTAACAAGCTACTGAGCTGAAAAATTGGTATGTGTTAACAAGAATATAAATAAAAATAAATAATCATTTCATAGGGCTTTTTTTTAAAAAAACAAAACATAATATGGCAGGATATGAATTGTGTTGGTAAATGGTGTTAAAAAACACATCAGGCATAACTTTGATCTCACTTATATAGAGCAGGAATAACTTCATTGTCATGAATGGAATTATTGGTACGAGGTCACATTCAAGCCCTTAGGACACAATCCAACTGTAACTGAGGTCAATGGAAAGACTCCCCATTGACTTCACATGGGGCTTGGAAGCAGCCCTTAAACTATATTTAAAAACAAAAGAAAAGCAAACTCCCAGGTGGCTTAGATACAAATTATATACATTTTTATTCATTTTAAATAACATTCTTCTGTATAAATTCTGACATATTCAAATCATACACAGCTTTTTTAGAAATACATTTGTAAGCTTAGTATATGCTTAGGAGACACCTTATTTGGATGTGTTGCAAGACTCCTGTATTTTAGTTGGGAGCGAATGTAATTTTAATGTTTTAGGCCCACGTTTTATTTTAATTGGAGACATAAATAGCAGAGTTTCTTGGAAGCTAATTTTAAAACTTCACTTTAAAGAGAAATTTTGTTTAGGCTTCAGTCTTAGGTCCTCATTTTAGAAGAGACTGTACCGATTGTCTGCCACATATCACGTATGTTGCATTTAATATTTGGAATAGAGATACTTTATATCAGAGGTCAACTGCCCCAGAATGCCATTACAATGGTAAAGACGCTCCATCCTGCCTCATAAATTACCTCTGAGGGTCTAAGTTTATTTTGCCTGGACCAAGGGAGTGACTATTTCAATATAGGACACTTCAAGATAATTCCCCAGGCCTAAAACTTCATGCAGTTATTTCTAGCTATGATGGTTCATGAGATTTAAGACCTTAAATTCACATTAGCCCCATTATATTTTTATGTCTGCCACATCCTGTGCTCACAGAATAGCATCCTACCTTGTGATCCTGTCAGGGTGGCCCTATGCATATTATAAAATTACTGTTTTTACCCTTCACCCACACCATTAGAGGAGTCTTTTTGTTCTCAGGTACTTGACTATGGAATTTCAGTTGCCTCATCCAGACCAGCGGGAACATGTGCCGTAATGGCGCTCACGTCTCAGGGTATGGGCATAAGATCGTTACCATTAGGAACAGCAGCCATTGATCTTTCACTGTCATTTTTCTCTGGACTACCATGTCCCCCTATTACTCCATCTGCACCATGCACACATAGCTAGTGCATCATACCACCCACTGTCTCACCCAAAATGAATGATGTTGTCCTGCAGGACTGCATACTATTCAGTTAGCTGCTAGCAGGTGGAACAGTGGTAACCCCCAACAGTGCGGGTATCTGTACGAGGAAGGTCTGATGACCAGCTGGCCTCGTGGTCAGCTCATGGCCTTACGGTTTCTGCTAGTCTAGTCATCCCAGAGGGGTCCGAGCTGCAGCCTCAGTCACCTCCTCATGCTCTAACTGCTCTGTCACCATTCAGTCATTACAAAGGAGCCAGGGGACAAAGGCAGAGGGACCAAGGCTCACTCAATCCTGCAGGTCCCAAACCAGGGCCCTTGGAGTTTATCAAACTGTCCTGCCAAGTTACTGAGCTACCCCAAATTACATTTCCCCCAAGTAATTTCCTACTAGTCTTAAGCTCCTCACTTTGGGGCATGGTCACTGGTTTAGTAGACTCTACTCAGTCTCTTAGGGCTTTCAACTCCCAAAGATCAAGTAGGGGGCTCTCCAAGTCCCTACTGCTAGAGCAGCCTTCACAAAGATGTTACCACTCCTGGCACAACATCAGCCTCACTTCCTGGTTACTACATGCAGCTCATGCCTTCCTGGCCTACCTGTCTCCTTTTAAACTCTTCCTCCACTGGGAACATGCCTTGTGCCTGTTGAGGGGTGGGGCCTCCCAAGTCCAGTATTTCTCTCTTGCCTGCCCTGGTTCAGTGTGAGGCCTGTAAATGCCATCACGGTATCAATTCTGATACTTCAGCTATCTGTGTCCAGGACCCTAGATGCCCCACCCCTAACTTGATGATTCGCCTCTCCACTGGCTCTACTGCACCGGCGCCGTCCTCTTCCTACTTATCTGTGCAAGTTCCAAGCTGCTATGGCACAGACTCTGCATCACAGGAAGCTGTGTGGCAAGTCATAAAATGCATGAAATGCTCAGAGGACTTTGGTAGGCTGAGGCAGTTGCCAGTGAACATTTCAGGCCAGGCGCTATGTCAGGGTGCACTCTCAGCTGCTCAAGAGATACAACTAGCTCATTTTCGTCCTCCCTTTGTAAAGATGCTCAGGTATGTGGTTAACAGAGGGGATACAAGCAAGCTCCATGCCCAGCGATCACAGAACTAGGCTGAACCTCAAGGAGGGGAGTTCCTCTTTACTCTTTCTTTAATTGTGTTTTGATTTCTTATCTGGTTATCCATCTCAGCAAAAGGACGTGACTGACTGCAACTATTTTTGTTTCTTCTGCTGAGTCATGTCACCCTCCTATAGGCATCCTCCCGAGTGCCTCACCTCTGTGAGGTTTCCAGTCTCTGCTAGGCTGAGGTTAGTTCCAAATCAAAGCCTGCTATATAACAGAGTATCCCTCCCACAGTCCCAGTAAGGTCAGTCCAGTTTTGAAAAGTTTTATGCAAGTAGGGTCCAAAGGAAAGACTCAATTGACTTCCAGAGGCTTTGGATCAGACTCCCAGGATGTCTATGAGATGTTTTCTCAAAATTTGAGAGATAATTTGCCATCAGCAACGTATCCCAAATACTATTGCCCTCCCACCATTACAAAGCGTAAGATGAACTGACCTCCTCACTCCATCAAACATGGGCTCGGAGATAGTGCCTTCATATTCATTTATCTTGTTTTGCTTATAAGGCAGAAAAGGGCCAGAACCAAAACCCCAGATCCAGATACCACCATTTTTAACGGTGGGATAGGAGGGGGTCAGTGTCTGAACTCAGAAGCAAACTCTGCAGCTGGCCACTCTCTATAATGGGAGAGAACCAAAAACCAGGATCTGAAATCCGAATGAGAAGTGTCCCATCCCTGTTATAAACTAGCCTGCAGGCTTTCCAAGGTTTCAGGAAGGAACATTTGGTAGCAGTTCTTCTCTTCTTTGCAAACTCTCCTCAAGCTCCCGCAAAAGACTTCTGACACACCCTAGTGCTCACTCTTTCTTTGCCTGTCAGCATTATTGCTCTATGAACTATTTCCAGAATCTAAAATGGGGGGTCATTAAAATCTCCTATGAAAAGTTACTTTTTTCACGGTGTAAAGATCAGGCAAGTAGATATTACAAAGGACACTGCCAAGTAATTACATACCGTCTTTAGTCATTTCTCTCCATTGTCATTAATCCGCTCTTCAAAAGCTTCGTGTGCAATCTATGATTTTCCTTTGTCCTTTTTCCCTTCTATTTTATCACTTAAAACATCTCTGAATGACTTGAATCCAACTTCTTATAAACTTAGGACCTGTCCCAAGCCCACAGCAGGGAATGGGAGACTTTCCATTGGCTTCAGCGGTCTTTGGATCTGGCTTATATACATGGTCTATCACACCCTCCTATCACTATTTTCCTTGCCCTCCACCTCAAATTCCCTTTGTTACGTTCACGTGTGCCACATCTTAAATTAGACTGTAATATCTTTTGGGGGCAGGGATTGTAACTTACTGTGTGTACCTACAGTACCTAGCACAATGCATCCCCAACCCTGACTGAGGTCCTTAGGCACCAGTGGAATACAAACAGAATAAAATAAATAAATAAATAAATAAATAGTATTCTCCTTTTCCACTCTCTTTCTGATGATGCATGAGCCAGCGATAGCTCAACATGGTTAACTACCTTGTTTATCAGCAGCATTGTTTTTAAACATTTGCAAAACACCACCACCCATGCACCACGGCTGTATTCGTGGGGGGCAGGTTAGGAAAAGGGTTTGATTTGTGACTCTGTTAAACATTAATTGTATTGATTTTCATAGGACAGTAATAGTTTGCCAAGCTCAGAAAAAAATCAAACAAATGATCCCATTCAAACTCCATTAAAGTGAATGGGAGGCTTTCCATTGTCTTTAAGGAGAGTTGGATTGGGCCTAAAGACAGCCTGTGAGTACAGTGAAAAGAATAAGGGAGAGAGATTGGATGTGGCTCTTGAAAAGGACCACGTGCCAAGCTGGTGCGTGAGGCACACTGAAAAAAGGTAGGGTGGAGCTGAGGTGCCCCATGGCATTATTTTTACACTGCACAGATACAGATGGAATGCGTCGGGGTCACTGAAAGGAGCAAACTATCCAGTGCCCCTTACACCTCCCCCCATTGCCTGCTGCCAGCGGTTAACAGGACAGGAGAGAGGGTCTATGCAGGGGTCATGGCGTGCTGTTAGGGGTTCTAACCAGCTGTCCACAGGCTGTTATTGTCAGCATTCTTCCTCAGTGGTGCATGGATGTATGTTCATCATCCATGTTACACCTATGCATAGGAGCCTGTATTCAGGCCTACATCTTAAAGTCACCTGGGGGAACAAGAAGGCAACCTGTGGCTATCTCCAGTCTGCTGAGCCAGAAAAGGACTGTCAGCTGTTAACTGCTCCCTCTGCTAACAGCTAGTCTGTCTCTGCACCAGAACAGTACGACTTTGCCTAACCAATGGACCTTTGTGTGTTTCTTGGCAACTGAGCCTCCTGACTCTCCCCAGCAAACAGCAGCTTAAAGCTATAAGAACTTCTAGGCATAAATTGCTTGACAGAGTCTATATAATTTTTTTTAACTCAAAGTTTGCAATAAAGAACCAGATCTGGTCAACTCTTAGGTGACGTCCTGGTTCCATTGAAGTCAAGGGGAGTGTTGCCATTATCTTCAACCGGGGCAGGGCAAAGCTCAGCGCCTCTGACAAGCCTTGCTCACACCCAGCAGTCTTTATTCACAAGAGCAGTCTCGTGGACTTCAAAGGAATGATGCATGTGAATAACAGCAGTGCATGTTCGTCATGGTTTTCAGGATCAAGCCATAAATAATTATGCATTTGTAACAGCATGTTTGCATTTTCTGTGGGCATTTCACAGCAAATTACCAAAGGTTACACCTCATTTCTGGAAATTGACTAGTCTCTCTTCATGATACTAGCGTCCATACCTTTAAATGAGTGGGGGAGTTTGAACTGTTACAGATAACGAGGAGGAAACACACAACTTTAAAAAAATTTCAGTGATATCAGAAGAAGAACTTTAAATGATGGGTGTCTGCCAGAGTCCCAGCTCCAGCAACATCACCATCTGATTTACACTATTTTAAAACAATCCCCATATTTTTTACAATGCCACTAACCGCTGTACAGATAAAATCTAGATGATAAAATAGGACTCACGACTTTTTTTTTTTTTTTTTTTTACAAATAATTATAAATACAATGGAGAGAAGATATATTACATTCTATGTACAGAACACACCATTTCTGTCAGGGTAGGATATTAAGCCAAGCTGCTATTTGTACACGTGACCCTGAGATGTCTTGTCGTCTTCCCTTGTACAGCATGTATACAAGTTCATTAACTCCTTCTACTGAAAATGGATTTCCGTGTTTTAATAGTATCGTCACTTTGTATGAGAGAACTCAGAAGGGGAAAAGAGTGATTGCCCACCCCCCGAAATTTTCATGATTGATTGTTTCTGCTCCCCAAATTGCTGGAAAACTGAACATGGTGACTTTAGTATGTGTGTAACATTTACACATTTAGAAGTCTCTTAGCAGTACAGTGAAATGAACATGATTTCCCTTTTTATATATAAAAACACAAATTCATACCAGGAAATAAAATGAAGTCTTTACAAAAGTCTATTTTCTGAAAGCCTGCTGTTAATTAAACAGGCTGCTTTTCAAAATATAGGCTACTGGTGTAGGCCTTAGCTTGGTTGGAAGTCAAAGTAGCTTTTGATTAATCGGGGGCATTGGTTACTACCCACCCCCCATCTTTTCATATAAAAATATACTTTAAAGGTCAGCATAATTTCATGGAAAGTCCTTAGCAATGAATTCCATGGATCGTCATGGAAAACAATACATTGAATGCATGTCATAATTTTACCTGAAATTCATATGCACTACACTCCTTTCCTGCTCAACAGCAAGCTACACCATGCCTGACGTAAAAGAGTACGTGGGTAGAAAATTCCTTTGCTTGGAGCCTTGGTACAGATTTAGATACCCCTTCAACGAGGACTGTAATATTTTTAAGCCGACTTTGGAATAGCTGGAATGACTCTTGTTTTAAGCTTTATAGTTATGCATGGGAGTTGTCAGCGTCAGCTGTCCATTTGGTGCCACTTCATTTCCGTCATCCTCCAGTAAGCCTGAAACATCAGCGTTGGGTATGCTGTCATGGTAGCTGCTAAAACTAATGTTGTCCTCCTTGAGCTCAATGGTCCAAAAAGGAGCATTAAGTTTTCTGTTTTGATATTCACGGTACATGTAGACAGCACCCACAAATCCCATCAACAGGACCACAACAATGATGATAACTGTCAAAATAATTATGTTAAACTGAGTCCAGGAGACGTCTGCTAATGAGGAGGTACTATTGTCAGAGGAGTTGATAGGAAATATAGTCTGCACAGTTGTTGGCGCTAACGTACTGTTTATTACAGTAGCTGAAAATGATGTTGACCTGCTGGTGTTGGGAGCAGCAGTTATAAACCCTCTAGGTTCAGGACCAGGAATGACTTCTACAAATACAAAAAAGATACATAAATAAATACATATACGAACAATAAAATACATGGTGAGCCATGATTGGAGAACAGGAAATAAATGGCTCTGCCTTTTCATCACTGTTAGTATGAGTGCAACAAACTAAAATTTTAAGGTCAGAATTGTTCAGGTCCCATTTACACATCAAAGTATTTGGCCAGATATTCAAGACAGCTCAGCGCATTGAGGTCTGAGTTCTTTTGAAACTCTGGTCATAAGCATCACAATGGGAGCTGCTGGGTGCTGAGTACTTTTGAAAACCTCCTCCTTGTTTAGGTGCCCAAATAAGAGCTGCGCTCTTTAGAAAATCTGGCCCGGATTGTGGGTGCTCTGCTCTTGAAAATCTGGCCCACCAGACCTCGATCACTCATGATGAATGCAAGTGCAACTCACTGGGTGAAATGTTGGCTCCACAAAGGCAGAGGAGCCAGGACTTCACCCATACAAAAGGTTTTCTGAAGAGACCTTTTAGTAGTAGGGGGAGAATCTAGTCTCGGATTGGATACTAGTGTGGAGGAGAATCACCTTTGAAAGGCTAATTTGATACAGGCAATAGGAGTTGGGGATGATCAGCCCCTAAGCGCCAGCAATAGGAGAGCCCAGGGATGGATGTAGAGGTGGAAAGATCCCTAACCAGAACATGTTACAACTAGACAGAGGATTTAGAATGTTTCTGCTCCATGGAGCAAGTCCTGCTCTCAGCTACATCCATCCCACTCCATCCATTTTAATGTGATTGCTTGAGCGTAACTAAGAAGAGAATTTGGTCCTGTCTATCTTAGGTATTTTTATACCACCAATCACTGCAGTATTGAGCCACTGAATAAAGTCCTTAATAAAAAGTTATTACAAGTTACTAAAGGTCAACCTCCAATAAGGTTCCCACACAAAACAGTCTAGTTAGAAGACAGTTAAGGTTAAAACGTTGTTGACACAACCTAACTGACTAGCTTTAAGCTTCCTTATCATATACACATTAAAATATATGCTAGCCATTAGACACACTAGACATGCACAGTGAAGGTATCCACCCAGCTCCTCTCCATCATATAATAAATGACCATTGGCTCTCACCCAGACCAATTTCTACCATCACTCAACCTTAGCTTTGTCTCACTAGTGGTTTAATTAGACTGTGGTGTTGATGGCATTGTTATGAATGTGCATGCTGTTTGGAAAATGCACGCTGTTGGATTTATAAGTTCTCAGGGCCCTATCCTGCTCCCATTGAAGCGAGTGGTAAAATTCCCAGTGACTTCAGCTATGCAGGATTGGAGCCTATGACCCCAAGCAACTGAAAACAGGGAGGGTTACAATGAAAACACTTATTCAGCCTTCCCTATAGCAGTCAGTGCCATTTCCACTAGAATATTCCAGCAACATTTAATTATATAAAATCAAGAGGAGGAGGAAGCTAGTATAGCTCTGTGAGATGAATTATGGTGAAATGGAGCCGTCATCCACAAAAGTTTGCTGCAGTACTTGAGCAGACAGATCTGTGATATCAGCTGCTGTGTTCACACCACTCGTGGCTGATCCCTGAGCCCAGTACTTCATGGATCCAAATTAAAGGAGCTCAAAAGATCATGGCCCAAATCCCGGGTGCTTCAAGGATCCTGCCTTAGCCTGCTCTTGTGACTAAGCAAATATAAAGGATCAGATTTTGTGAGTGGCTAATTATTTTTAGTGCTCCAGTTTTCTCAGTATCCAACTGGGACCCCTTAAAAGGGCCTACTGAGCATCCACCCCCTGAAAATTAGACCCCTTTTAGTTGCCTCAAGTTGGGCTGCCCAAAATTTGGAAGCCTCCAAATTCACTAGTCACTTCTGAAAATCTTGGTCCTAAAATCTGCTAGAACGCAGTGCCTCCAGCATCTCCGCTCATGGTCGAGCAACGTTCAGCAAACAGGGAACAAAAATGCAGATCTTTTAAATATTAACATGGAAAGGAAAACAGGTGCCAAGGAAACATGAGAGCTGCCTCAGCTGCCTGTGAGATGGGAGGGCAGTATTTTCCCAAGTCAGTAATCAGCTATCTCACCATGTCATTAAAGTGGCAGGAGAGGTGCAGGCTGGAAAGGGTCATTCAAAGGCAAAGGCATGTGTGTTACTATGGAACAAGGTCACTCAGTCCCTTCAACACAAAACCAATGCATTACAACGGATGGACCAGTGTGAAATTTCTATCTGCAACCCTGCAGAGACAGCCATACATAAAATTACAGCACATGAATATTAAACTTGTTTACTAATCATCCCTCTTCCGCTCACAGAAAATCTTGCAGTGTGTCCGTTCAGGGATCAGTAAGAGAATGAAGGTCACATCAGCTCCCTACTGTAATGCCTTTGAACTAAATCTCTTGGAATGGCAGGGATGAATTTGGTCCTGATAGGTTCTGGAATTCTGCGCTCTCCTTCCTATGTACAACCACACATGCATGCAGCCTGCAGTCTATCTCGTGGAGTAACTTACTGACAACCACTGGGAGAAGAACTATGGGAGAAGAACTTTCTACCATTTTATTCAGGGCTATACAGTTATAAGGTAGCTTCTTCATTGCCATCGCGCACCTGAGAGTAGATGCAATGAGGATGAGGACTGATAAGAGGCCTCAGAATCAGGCAATAGTGAGTTCACATCTCTGCTTTGCCACTGGATTTGTTGTGTGGCTTTGGTCAAGTTGCTAACCACTCTGTGCCTTAGTTTCCCAGCTACAGAGCGGAGGTGATAATACTTCACAGAGTTGTTCTGAGCGGTTGATTAAGGCCTGCACAGCACTTTAAAGCACTACATGTTATGATAAAAAGCCTTTATAAAGTGCCAATCCTGTAAATCCTTACTGATGTGAGAAGTGCTACTGAATGTAGTCAAATAACGCAACTCACCGGGGGGTTAAGAGTTTGCATCCAGCTCCAGAAATCAGAATACAAACCGAATTATACATAATCTTTTGTTTTGGTTTATTTCATGATATTGCCTGCCACAGTTTTGGGGAACAGATGAATTACCGAAAACCTAGGCGTATCTTCAATTCATGGACTTTAGAGTCAGAAGGATCATTAGATTATCTAGTCTGACCTTCTGTATAACATAAGATGAATATATTAGTGTCTCTTTTTATACAGGCATGTGCACAAACACGCATGAGAAAACACACAAAAGTTCACTGCAGGAAAGGAACTTTATTAAATAATTTTCTGTGCCGAAACCTAGAAGATTCTGCCCTCCCACAGCCTACTGTCTCAAGCTGTAGAGAGAACTGTCTGTCAAGAGCCATTTCCAGAATGCCAAAGATTTGCCATGCATCAGAAACATTGCCACTGCTCCTTTCAACGTAGGCAATGTTCAGACAGGCTCTCGGTAACTGAAAACGAAGCTTGAGAAAACATTATAATGGCTACGGGGAAAACTTTCTTCCAGCTTCCCCTTTGGACTGGCCCTTTTAAAGGAATGAGTTCCCATGTCCACCTTGGAAGACACTAAAGCTGCTTCATCTTCAACAGCAAATCCCTCCAGGAATAAATATACCCAATATTCCTTCCACACCCCAGGCAGCTTGCGTGTGTCTGATCTGGTTAGGAAACATGGACACCGATTCGAGGAGAAGGGTTTACCTTTCTTGGTGCAATTGGCTCCCTCCGGGTCTCTGACATAACCTTCCTGACACTCCTCGCAATGGAACCCGGCCGTGTTGTAGAGGCAGCCAATGCATTCCCCTGTGTCTGGCTTGCATACCTTGGGTGACTGGTCTGGGTCTACATTCCCGTTACATTTACATCTAATGCAGATGCTGTCGGAATTGTAATAGCCATTGTCACACTGGTCGCAGTTCAGGCCAGTGTATCCGGCTTTGCATCTGTCACACGTTGGGATGTGTTGACCAGGTTCTGAAAAAAAGAGAGCCCATACAAATATCACTGAACGATCCCCATGAAAGAATGTTCCTTGTACCAGTTGCATGTTTGCTCTGCATCACACTGATCTGCGCTCAGGTTCTAAAGTCAATGGGAGATTGCTTGTGTAAAAGATGAACGCTAAAGCCTTTAAAATGTAAGCGCTTTGCAGCAGAGACTTCTCTGTTAAGCCCTGTATATCTATGCTGCCCCATAAAAATAAAAAAACATGTTTAGGTTTCTAGATCTTGGTGCCCAGTCACAGAGCATAGTTAGCATATTTCCAGCCAATCTGAGATTACTACTACTTCGGGACACCTCTGTCTTGAGTGATGGATTGCAGGGAGCATCTGGCCGACTGGGACTGCATCGTGGAAGTTATGGATGGACAAGAACTTTTTAGATCATCTCGACCTGGGGAAGTAGGGGGGGGGGGGGAAGGAATCACAGTGCGTAGAAAATTTTATTACAACCTAAAGCTAAGGTTACTCCCCCTCACACCATTTGCCTTAGAACTCAAATATTCACCACCAACCTCTTGAAAGAGCACACAAATGACATAGGCCTAGCTTTGTTATCATTAATACATTTCCTTATTCTTGCTTTTATAGCAAATGTAAGGGCGTCACAAAAATTCAGTCTTCAAATAAGCGACCAACCACCTACTAAGTTTGGGAAAACCTACTCTAGGCCATCTCCCCATTAGTGCAGGACTGATCCCAATGGCATGTTTTGTGCAAATTAATTTGAAAATCCCAAGCAACGGGGCTTCCGTCTCTCTTCTCTGGGAAGTCTCTTACACAGCCAGGGACGGCAGCTTAAATTTCCCCCCCAATTAATTTCATCCCATCCCCCCTTTGCTATCTCTCTAGTAATGAGATGACAAGAGCTCAAAGCAACACTGCAAAAACTGTAAGACACGGACATCTTCACATGCCCTGCAGCCAAGCAAAGAGCCCAGATTATTTGGGGCAGGGCTATTTTCTGTGTACACTGGGTGAAATTTACCCCTGTGCAAAGGGCCAGCGTGTTGCCTATGCACTGCTTCAGTTCCACTTAAGTGGGAATTAAGGGTTGCACAGGCCTGTTGCTAACTTTCTGCAGAAGGGTGAATTTCAATCACTGCTGATAAAACAGACTAGCTCTCCACCATACCTAGGTCTTTTTGTCTGCAAAACAATAAAGACAATGAAAACGAGCAGCGGGAACCACGAGGGTAACCACGGTAACAAGTAACAGCAAATGCCTGCAGCAAGGGAGATTTTTGCAATGGTTTCTGATACACTGTTGCTCTCACAAGAAGCACCCTAAATACTCCAAGAATACGGTCAGTAAATACTGCGCTCCTAAATGTCACGTGTCACTTCCAATCGTACACTCCAGGTCCCACGAAAGAGGGATTCAAAGGCAAAGCTTACAAACTGGCACATGAGGATAATCAGCCCAGAGTAAGGTTTAGCTATGAAATATATTGAAAGAAGTTGCTTTCACTAGCATACAAAAAGAGCCTTACTTATGTGGCAACTGCCGGTAGATGCCACTGTTGAACACGGGCAGCGGTTACATTCGTGGCTTGGGAAGATGCTTCTAAAGAAGCCCACCTTACATTTTTCACAGTGGCTTCCTTCTGTATTTCCTTGGCAGTTGAAACAGGTGCCTAAGAGAAATCAACAAAAACAACAGACGATTCATTTAGAAACAGCAGAACATTTTATCAAGGATATTTTTAAATATCTAGAGAGAGAGAGAGACACACACACACACACACGCAGAGATCTTTATTGCACAGCCTAAATGTTCACAAGTAACTAGTGATTTTGGATGCCCCTTTTGTTAGGCGCTAGTCCTAAGACACATTCAGAAAATCTGATTTGGGGCACCTCAATACTTTCTGACCACCTCGCCCCCCAGTTAGGCAGTCAAAAACAAGCACCCAAAATCACTCAAAACTTTTGTAAAATGTAGGTCTACATATACTAATAAATTCATGCAATTAAAATCAAACCATCCTCCAGGAGAAATATCCTAGCCTGTCTCAGTCGTGGTGAGTAAGGGCGTCAGCCTGCCAAGCCTCACTCACAAGAGTAGCCCCAGTGATTTTTGGTGCCTTTGAAATAGCTGTAACAGTCCGAATGATGGGTTAAGGCCCTGTAAGGATCACCCTGGGGATGTCGAGGACAGCTCTCTTGATTTCTGCTGTACACTTGTTCTATTACTGTAATGTCACTGTTTAAGTTAACCAAAGAATTCCGTGAAAAGTCTATGTTGCATCTGTCTTTGGCCTCTCTGTCAATCAAAATTCACCGACACCAGGCTCACTCCCAATGCCAATAGCACTGCTCTCAAGTTTCGGAGATTGGCATGCGATGCAGGCTGCAATCATACGAGGACATGAGGAGGAGTAAGAACCCCCCCTACGCAGGTTACCTGGATCTTGGGTCTGAATGTATGGGGTGAAGAGGAGCTGTGCACCTACTCTCCCTGTGTCTATAGCAGATGGCTGCAGCCCCTAGAGTTTGGCTCCATTCCCAAAGCACTGACCAGCAGAGCTAAGCCAGGGCCGTGTGGGAGGATTTGCTGCTGGTATAGGCCAGCAACAAATTATTAACTCCCTGGAGAAAGGGTGGGGGAACAGAGAAGGAATTCGGGGTTCCTGAGACAAAATTCCTTCTCTGGGGTGCTCCTGGAACAGCAAAGCAACACATTGCCTCTTACTAGAGGCTGTGCTCTTGTGGCATGATCTAGCCCTTTGTCAAATTCAATTTGATGTTACTGCAAACAAAGGGAGCAAATCCTGCTAGCTATATAAATGCAGTCCCTATCGAAAGCTCATCCATCAACAGGAACATCATCTGCTTCAACAAGCGTCTTACTGAGTGGTGGAGGTGACCCAGGGGAAGCTTATTTAATTAAATCCCAAGTACAAGCCTCTGAAAGGTAAAAGCAGCCTCTCCACAAACCAGGATGGCACAGAGCAGTGCAGTTACAGAGTGAACACTCTCTGAGCTAAGTTGTCAGTGTTCTAGGGGGGACAAAATGCTAGTATCAACAGCAACCAGGCATATAAAATCCCCATCAGGTTCATGTTTAGACTATAGCTTAAACAAAATATAGTTCCTTATAACATCAATCAAGGCTGTTCAAGCACCATGCAAGTCCAGGTACATTACATTACTCTGTCTTTCTTTGCTGGTGCACCAGTGACCCTGGGGACTGGGAGTCTCCAAGCAAATACAATTTGTCCTAGTATTTGATCCTTTGATTAATGGGAGAATGAATAACTGGCTGGTTATTGCTTTTTGGAACCAGCTGATTCACACATATGGCGGAGGCTGTTGGTGACTAAGGATGCTTGCAGTGTTCCATAACTCAATCTTCCAGTCAATATTTGCTTCTTGTGTAGTGGCCTGTATGACATGAGCTGGTGGTCTCTGTGGGAGAGATGTCCACACGATGGAAACCACCACCCCCTAATTGCAACCTCCGTTGGCAATCTCACCATGGAGACCAAGGGTTGAATGAATCATGGAGAGTCAACTACAAGAGGTGGTCTCGCCTCATCAGCTTTACGGCACTTGAATTAGACTCTGCTCTTGGTTATGCTGCCCTAAATCTGGAATAACTGCATACATTTTCTGTGCAGACCTCCCCATTTCACGACCACATCCTTTCCCATCAGCAGGAGTTGCAAGCATCTTCCTCTGCATACTCCAACTGGCTGTGTTGCCAATGGACCAATAGGTCACTCAATCGTACAAAGCATCCTAAAGGTTCTGGACCAGGGATCACTTTCTTCTCTGTGGAAAGCATTAATATTTCAGAACAGTTTCCATTCTGATTGCTCCTTTCAAGCATTAACTCAGCCCGGTGGCTCCTCAGGTAGATAGGTGTTGTTACACTTATTTTACAGATGAATACAGTCAGACACAAGAGAGGTGAAGTGACTTATACAAGGCAGTATGTGCAAGAATAACGCCCGGGATTCTTGACTTCCAGTCTGCCTGCTCTAACTACTTTCTCTTTAACACACTAAAACCTAATGAACCTATATCCATACAACATACTGTGAGAAAATATCTTTTATATGAAATTCCGTTACATTATCCAACTGGGATTTGTCAAAACAATGTAGGTCTTCAGTTAGCCAGGAGAGGGAGCCCACAACACAGTATTAATGCAATAGAAACATTGACATTGACAAGGAATACACACTTTTATATAGAGCTGGAAAAGTCAAACAAAGGGCAATCTCTAGTTCATATCGAGAGCTAAATGCATACATTACTTGTTAGAAATCAGATCTAATTTACTATCGTTTTTCTGCTTCAACAATGAAAAGGAAATACAAGTAAAGAAAGAATAGGAACTTTCTACGTTCCACCATAGATTAAACTAACATTAATACGGTTAGGCTTCAATTCTACAATCTGATCTATAAAGACGGATCTTTGACACTCATGGCAAAGGTTTCTGCTTCCATAGACTGACCACAAGATCAAGGGCTTAGCTGGCTTTTTGTTTTTCTTTTTTTGGTATGTAATTTCATACCAAAGAGCTAAAACACACACATGAAGGCTCTGATTCAGCCAAGCACTTCAGCACACCTTAACTTGAAACGTGTTCTTATGTCCCATGAATTCAGTGGGACTTAATCACATACTTAAAATTAAGTATAAGAGTGAGTGCTTTGCTGAATCAGGGCCACACAGAATAAATTTCTAATATCTGCTAGATTTCCCATTAAATTTGTTCTTCTACAGTGATGGTGTTATGTGCTGAGAGTTAATTCTGTGACTGTTGATATTGATTCTGTGTCTTTGTTAGAAATGTGCAGACAATGTAGTAATAAATACTAGAACCGAGCAAATAATTACAAACAAATAATTCATTCGATTAATTCTGTGTCTTTCTGTTCACAGGCTGTTGGCAAACAAGCTGCAAACTTCTTGAATGCATTGCCTATTTCTAACTCACTAGACAAAATTTTGGTGAGTTTTATTTTACTCTGTGGCTCATCAATATAAGTTTGAATTTCAAAATTGGAGCTCTGTTGCTGAGCTGGGATAGGTCGTTAAGTCACATGATATTGTTTCTCTTTGGGTTTCTGGTGTGAAGAGACACAGAAAGGCAATTTACTTTTTTCAGCACAGAAAACGTGTGTAAATGGATCACAACGTTCAAGGAAAGCCAACACAAAATGGACAGGAGGCAAATCCATAAAAAACAGAAACAAATATGAATGCCCTGTTTCTGAAGTGCTCATAATGGTATTTGTGACAATACAGGCTGCATTCAGCCAACATCTGAATAATACATGCTTCGGCGAATAGAAGGTACAGCAAAAAGTAAGCTTTTTCAGGTTGGGATCATCTTTTGGTTATGTGTTTCTATAGGGTCTAGAACAATGGGGCCCTGGATTCCTAGTTGGAGCCCTAGATATAATAATAAAGGCTCGATATTGCTGTCAAAGTGAATGGCAAAGCCCCCACCAACTTCAATGGGAAGAGGATCAGATCCAAAATGACAGTTTATGGTGCAAGTAGATAATGTTATGCCCTATGCATAAGTACAATTAAATGAAAGATACAAATAAAAGGGATGAGACTGGAGAGATTAGTCTTCTGAGGGCTGTAATACTTTCTTCTAATTCTGGTTGTTGGTCTTGGTGTGCAGATGGCTAGGTGGTATTTAGTGGCCTGTGTTACACAGGAGGTCAGATTAGATGATCTGGAGGTCCCTTCTGGCTTTAAACTCTAAATACAATGGCAGAAATCGGGGGACAGTTGACTACAGGTACATCTACACAGGAAGCAGAAACCCACAGCAGCAAGTCTCAGAGCCCGCGTCTATAGAACTTGGGCTATGGAGCTAAAAATAGCTGTGCAGACGTTCCGGCTTGGGCTGGACCCTGAGCTCTGAAACCGAGGGAGGGGCCCAAATGTCTACGCAGCTATTTTTAGCACTGTAGAATCGAGCCACGCAAGCCTGAGTCTGTAGAATCAGTGCCGCGGGTTTCTTCTTGCCGTGTAGATGTACCCTAGATGGTAAGGGCCCAAACCACTACTCACTCACCCCTGCAACATCGCTGATGTCAATGGAGCCCCACCAACGTTACAGAGGAGAACTTGGCTCTAAGCAGTCAGAAGTATTGTACCTGTTAAGACATCGCAGCTGTTGGAATAGTTATTGCACTGGCATGGTTCACAGCTGGTTTGGTTCACCCAGTAGTAGCCATCGCAGCACTGGTCACACTTGAAGCCGGTTACCCCAACTTTACACTGGCATTTTCCAAAGCTGCAAAGGAAAAAAAAAACAAAAACAAAGAAATCTGCATGTGCTACTTGACGACTCGGTAACTTCTGTTCTCAGTCTCACGGGCACAATGCTCTCATTCCCCGAGGGGGAATCTGTTCCTCTTACAATGTCATGCACATGCAGCAAATGTTCACCAGAAATGTAACTGCTGGAATATAAAACATAAGGGAGCATCACCGGAGTTCAAAACACCTGTACTACCTCATTGAGTTCATTGTGTGGGTGTAACTGCACACAGAATTTGACCCTGTATTAGCTTTCAGTTCACACTTTATTGTTGGATAATGGTCCATTTCTGAGCACAGCAACTCAATGACTCATCCCTCCCTTTGAAAGAGCTCTCTCACTGACTTACTGTCTTCTTCTGTGACTGGAAAGCACCTAATGCATTTTGGGCACTACTGCGATGTAGCAGCAAATGAAATAAGATGATGACAGTTCGGCGTTTGAGTTTGGTTCAGATAGGTGACCCCCTAAAATCAGATGCTTAACCAGAGCTTCTCCAAACCTCTTTGAGTGTACAAAACCGGACTGGAAATTTTGTGAGATTAGGGATATTTCAGTGTTTGAAGTTCTGATCCAGGCTAGAAACTAAAAATGAAGAAAAATTTCCCCACCATATCCAGCTAGCCCAATATTTCATAACTTTTTAAAAGGTTCTCCTTGAGAAACAGGCAATGTCATTTCCTCTGGACCCAGCCCATCCATCTATAGCAATGATGGCATGGTACCAGGGGCCAGAACTGGAATGGGGACCAGAAATGGGCTCTATTTCAACCTCAGCCACTCCGAGCCTGCTGCAAAGCCCACAGAAGGCAATGGGAGTCTTTCCAGGGACCTCAACAGTCTTTGGAGTAATGAGCATTTATGTAGCACCTTTCACCTGAAAATCTCAAAGCACTTCACAACCGTGGATAAGAAATGTCTCCATTTTACAGATGGGAAACTTCAGAGATGAAATGACTTGCCAAAGATCACAGAGCCAATCAACGGTGCTTCAGAACAGCTGTGGGTCTTTATCTGTCCACCTGTAAAATGGGGACAATAATACTGCCTTATCTCGTGTGTATGTGAGTGCGGGGGAGGGGAGTTCTAAGGATTAATCCATTCATGCATGTAAGACACTTTGAGATTTCCATATGGAAGGAGCTATTGAAGGGCAAAATATACATATCCATGTATAACATGCATTCCAATGCTTCTTAATTCCCTGCCTTTTATTCAGCATTTCAGCATTTGCTGTGGCATCCTAAACAAACGTCAATTATTCTGTACAGTTCTTGTAGGGGAAGAAGAGACAACTAACCACGTCTATGAAAAGCCGATTAACACTAACAGAGGCTGAGACCCAGAATGGCTGGATGTACTATTTATGTGTTGTTTTTAATTAAATGCTGTAGATTACAGTGGTTTTGGACAGCACCATTTCAAAAAATTAACCTACATTAGTATTTCTCTTGATAGTTCGCTTGGCAAAAATAGGAAATACCCAAAGCCACACACACACACAGAAGGAAAACCCACAAATCTAGCCCAAGAGGCTAAACAAAGAAATACTTTCAAAATATGAATTTCAGACACATTTAATGGACTGATTACAGAAAAGAGCAAGAAATATGTTTCATTAGCCTCCACGCCATATCAGGAACTGCAGCCGGCAGAGGCAGAATTTAAAAAGCTTGGACAATAAAAACAGGGTTTCACAAAACCTAAAGTTAATTGAAATTTTTTCATGATGTTTTAAACCCAAAGCAAATGGAAACCATTTTTCATTTGAATTTGAACATTTCTCCTGCAGCATTTGCAGCACGGAGCTACAGTGCGATGGAGCTAACAGCTCTGTAGAAAACAAGACTGATTAGACAGATAGCGCCAAAAAGTGAAAGCAACTAGACCTGTCATTCTAACCCTATGCCATAGCGGGACTCCCATTCCCCTCTAGCTGGGACCTCATCCCATCTACCAGTGCAGAATGGTTGCATCTCCCTGGTTGAGAGCTCATGAACTAGTCTAGCTTCATTGTACAAACTGACTGAAATACACTGGATCTATAAGATAGAACTCATCTGAGACAGAACAGAGAGGAAGCTTGCAGTGATGGTTAAAGCACAAAGCTAGGAGTCAGAACACCTGGGTTCTATCATCACAAAGTGTGTACACACACACACACACAGATTTTAAAGATACTTATATGGCCTTCATCTCTCTGGTATTATGATAAAATTGTTATATGAAGCAGAAAAATGGCCATAAAAACAGCTGAGGAGAGGAAACAGCAGCTTTTAGTGTCAAAAGTTATGGTGTATTCTTAACATCCTTTGGTTTGAGCTTGTCATAAACAAGGAGCTACTTATGGTCTTGGCAAGTTGCAGTCTTGCATCAGTTGAGAACAAGATGATTGCAACAAGTGGCGTTGTGTCCAGTGTGCAGAAGATTACAGGAGGTTTATTTATACAGCTGAGCTTGAAGGAAATAGAGCACGAGTCTGACCACAAATGTGGTTGGAAGCTACAATTTTGAGGGATTTAAGAAACCGAAATCCTCCCATACTGACTCTTGCCAAAGGAAGAAGACTTGCAAGGGACCATTCAAAGATGGAAGTCCACTGTACTCGCCACCATGGCTACATCATAGCCTCTTCTGCCCTCCCCACAACTATTCAGCATGGACAGAAGAAGGCTCTCTCATCAAGAACAGCAGTAGTTGCAGGAAGGGGGAGATAGAAGAGGCCAGTGCTAACTAGGGCAGGCATGAACGGAGGGGGAGGAGACAGACTAGATCTGTGAGGGGGACTGGAGCAAGATGAGGGAGGGCTTAAAGCAATTTTGAACCGGATCATCAAATGCACTAGGGACCTGAGGGAGACTGGGGGGGGATAACATGTCTGTGCTGTGTTGTACCTATGTGCAGGTGAAGAGTAACCCTCCTGCCCCCACACACACATGCTTCCCTAGAAGAAGGATGGTCTTGTGGTAAGAGGGCTAGTGTGGGACTTTGCAGCCCTGTGTTCAATTCCATCACAATCTCCCTATGTGACTCTGGGCAAGTCACCTGATCTCTCTGGGCTTCACTTCCCCAACTATAAAATGGGGATGACAGCACTTCCCTATCTCACGGAGACTGTCAGTTGCAATACACTGAGGACCGCTAGGAACTTGGCTACCAGGGAGATGCAGCAGCAGACACATGGCTGAGATGTAGCCCTGGTGATGTGCAGAATGCATTTCCATCTTGAATGGTCCCTTGCAATTCTTCTTTTGGCAGTATGGTTTTTAGGTTTCTTAAATCCCAGTGGCCACAGCTGGAGTGGCATAAAGGAGCCATAATGCAAAGAAGAATTGGCTCCTTTATGCTGCTCCAGTAAACTGGGTAGATATGGCCCCTGGAGAATTTCCCTTGATGTAGAGGTAATCCCTTTGTGGCAAAGAGCCAGCATAATTGGTCTATCCCACTCCCCTGTCCTCATGGTGAGAGGAAAAGGGGAAATACTGGAGCTACTCCCAGTTTCTGAAATGGTTCCTTGTGGCCAAGAGCAGACAGGGGTAAATTAGAGCAGCCCAAAGGCTCAAAGATAGGGTAAGTGCAAAGGTGATTTTGTCCCCATCCCTCTTGTTCCTGCACAGGGCATAGCTCAGTCAGAACAGGCGCTTGTAGCTCTCTGCTTTCCTGATTATCTCTGCCTCATTTCAAATTTCAGCTGAAAAACACATCTGTTGTTCTCCCTTGCTATTGCTGATATCAAACTGAACTCTAACCGTGTTTAACTCCGGACAGTATTTAGAGATGGAGTACAAATTAAGAGCCCAGTCCTTCATGTGAGTAATCCTACAAGTAAGAGTTTACAGAATCATTTCCTAAAGTGGTTTCAAATTTAGCCTCCTGGGCTCGTTTCCCTTGATTCTGGGGCGTTCTCTATTATTTTCTCACCTTTATATTGACCAGACATTTATTTTAACAGGACTCTCCTCCCCAGCAACCTCTTTCCAGCCAGACTCCTGCTTCATTTTAAACAAAGTTTCTTTCCTAGGACTCCTCTGTTCTTAAATGTAGTGTTCTTGGGACAACACCCATGGATTTTACTTGTTAGATTAAAAATAACAGGATAGGAAGTTATTTTTAAAAAGTTTTGGAAAGTTTGGTATCAGTACTCCTCTAGGAGGACTTTTCTCCACGTTACACATGGCCTGGAGCCAAGTCTTGCATGCGTAAGATTAAATCACTCAGCAAATATAAAGCGTTGCCTGTGGTCACTGCTTCTATAGGATAAAGCCCTTACAACACTGCCTTTCAGAGCTCCAGTCCAATGAAGACTGCTGAACACTTTTCGAAGCAAAGGTCAATGGTATAAACACGCTGAAATCACAAAAAAGCCCTGTTACCAGAGCAATTGTGCCCATAAAAAATCCAAAGGCTTGAAAGAAAAGACCCACAGTTTAATACTTGAAGAGTGAGAACTGAATTGGATTTGGAGTGCAAGCCAGGAATATTTTGGGGAGGGAGACTATTAAGACACAGCAACACAAATTGCTTGGTTACTATTTCCAATGATTAACCATGTGGAAGCCAAAAAGTTTTTAGCGCTTGGCGTTCATGCAGTGGAGGCCCCTGTTGGAAAATCTTGATTTCTGGTGCCAAAGGGTGGCTGCCCACCTGGGACTTTATTTGGATCTGTGACAGTACATACTTTATACAGGGTGCATGGATTTTATAGTGCATTCAAGCCGGACACCACCTAGTGATTCAAAACAATTCTTGCCATTGCAGGGCACAAGAGCATTTACCAGCCCAATTTGTGTCTCTAACACCGTGTGAGCATGGCAGAGGTTTAAAAAGTCTGGGGCTGATGCGCCATGGCATTGCATGCTAGCAGAGCACAGAGATGTAAATGGAGTCACCTTGACGGAGAACGGGAGTGGCACATAATCAGGACCCTAACCGCTGCTGGAGAATATGGCTTGGGAACACTCCACAGGCTACAT